AAATATTTATTCAAATGTTATTTGCAAACTCAAAGCGAGTGCTGCAATTCCTCGCAAACTATTATGTATGGAATGCGCACCTACATTTCCTTATATATGTAGGTCGACGGCATTGGCCACTTTTTGGCAGAATCTCTAGTCCATTTAGCATTTATTAATTTTTGTAAATTTCTAATGTTAACTTAACATTCCACACATTTCTTTGACGCTTCGGCGTCATTAACGATTTTTTGACGTTTCTTTCCTTTTCTTATATCGTCCAAAACGTTGCGGAATGTACACTCAAACAAATCTGAACCTTTTTTTTTTTCAGGGATTCAGTCTGTGATCCGTTAGTGTGAATTATAGAGTGGTAGCACCCGAATTAAAAGACAGGCTTATTTTGAAGTGTTAAAGACTGCAGACTACCCTGGCAATTTGACCACGTAGTTAGAAACTCTGTTCGCAGCATACTTTTAAAAACTCGGGGTTGTTCCTAAAGATATTTTTCTGTGCCACAAGTAAGCGCTTTGAGCTTTGTTTTCTCGTAGAAGTTTTCTCTAGCTTAACATTTCTCAAATACGTACTAAACATTTCAGGCCGACATTCGAGATACGCCCTCTTCCCCTTACCATCCCGCCCCTTAGTCCGCTCTTTACCAGTGCGCAGTTGCCGCCGCCGCCACAAAAAACCATGTTAGACTTATTTCTCATATTTGAAGCGACTTCTCATATGACGTCATAAGTCTATAAAAGCCGCTTCAGTTGTGCTATCTGTTTTTTAGAAATCCACAGAGGTTCCCTCGTTTACATTGGCAATAAGTTCTCGGCAACGTTTCTTTTTGGAAATAAACGTTGTTTAGTTGTGGTAAACAGTACCTTTGTGGAAGTAAAAGGAGCGATACGCACATCTGGCCATTTCTGCATGTTCTGTATAAGATGATGAGCAGACAATTTTTCGACTTACACATTTATGTACTTAACGTAATTGTGATATTTTTAAATACCAGGTAATGGTTTTAACTATAAACTATAACTCACAATAAAATGCAGAGTAGCATGTATTAAGTTGAGCCAGTCTATTACGCTCGTTTCATATTAAGGCTTAGTCCAAATTTTGCATTGCAACGTGCCATACTCTTGAGTCAACGAGTTCCTACTCAACTTTATCTTCTTTTTCTTTAGCGATTTTGTTTCTAATTGTTCCTCTAATCTATTTTCTTGTTCCTTATTTTATTTTGTTATATTTATTTTTTAAAGTTCTCTTTTATTTTACCATAGTTGGAATTTACGTTGAGCACCGTTTATCAGTGCAGTGAATCCTAATGTTCCCTTTTACCATTTAAATTGTGAATCTTGCTTCAAGCACAATCTTAGTGTGGTTATCTTTGCCGCATCCTGCAGGGATAGCCGCATTAACAAGTGTTTCGTGCAGGTTCATTGATAACGATGTAAGATATCTTTCATGAAATTTCATATCTTTTCAGTATTTACAAACTGTACAGGTTAGGTGAGATTGTACATTTTATTGTATCTTGTAAGCCAGGATTATCAGAAGATTGTGTAACATTTGTGATTTGTACCCGGTTTACATTTGTCTTTATCGTGTCCTATACATTATACCTAGACCTATTTATCCAACCTCGACAGTCGCTTTCAACTTTTGTCAGGCAGTGTGTGCTCGTGCATTCTGACCGTCTATGTGAGATTTTGAGACTTTTCGTAGTTATCTTGTTCAATTAATGGACTGATTGGGTCCCTTTTGACCCTGGATTATTTTTTCTATCAAAACTCAATTTTATTTGTAGCTAGATCATATAGACAATCTCAAAATAGACACTAGACTAGATCATGAAATTCTCTATAGCAAAATGACCATTCAGACTAGGGCGACATTAGAGTCTTATAAATTTATTCTGATTTTCTAATGATTTGTTTTAGGGTTTCAAATAGAAAACTAAATATCTAGATGTATATTGTTCTTTTGGTTTCTGTCGCGATTTCCGTTTGTTTTGGAATCTCAAGCTCACAGGTTAAAGGACAGAAGATATGCGACTGCGAATGTACGATACACGGTATTAGCTTCACCAAAGTAATATTGTGTATTCCTGACATAGGTGGAACCTTTCCTAGCAGATAAGCTATAGCCGTTTTAGCTTCAATCAATGTAAAATAGTGCATTTCTGTATAGCCGGTATTACTCAAATTTGTCATTGTAAACACTTCATAATGATAGTATTATGAAAGTGCGTTATTGTACATTGGTTATGGGCTCCAAACTTCTTCGGGCTTCGCTGCGATTCCTGCTCGTCAAGTTTACAACAGTGAGACCTTACGCTAGTGTAACGTTCCTGGTGGAAGTGGAGTCTAGATAGTATTTATATTAATTTTGTACAACGAAGACTAGAAGTGTTTATCCTGCTGCACTCATGGATCAATGGACTTCTGAGGTATAATTTGTGATATCCTACCTCACGCAGCAATGTAGCACAAGACAACTAATATTAGCGGTTAGCAAACTAAACCGTCAATAACATAGAGTAATGTCGTTTAGGTCCATATTCTCGACAAACCTGTAACATCATTGTCTTCGTAGATGTACTCAAAATATATATTGTCTGTTTGAAATAAAAAACATTGAACTATGTACGTTAAATACTGTTGTTATAATTTTGTAGACTAGCTAGCCTCTAGAGTAGACAATGTAGAATAGCCTCCTATCCTCGTAGTAGTGTCCTTGTAGATCTCCCTCGACAATCAACACTCCGTTCGTTCAGAAGGACCAGTCTGGCAAACTATGAAGAAATTGTGAAGAGAATGCCTTATTGACAATAAAGTTTAATTAGAAAGTGACGTGGGCCTTTTCCACGAGATTTTCGACTGCACAGTAAGTTGACGTCTAATAGCAGAGCGTGACGAAAACGGACTTGTCAGTAACATTCCAAAGTATGAGTATCAGGTCTTAAGCTAATGGTCGTGCGCTCATTTACATTGAAGAAGGAACATTACAACTAAAATTTATGTAATGTGCAAATGATCTTACAAACGAAATTTTCGTGGTTTATTGTACTTACGGCCCTGACAAGTCTACGCATACTTTGTCTAAGAGTTCAACTCATTAGTGTGAAAAATTTACTCTAAAATCGCGTTAAATTTGTATAAGGTCATTTCGTACTAGTTCATCTTTCCAGGAAGCCCAATTGCAGTAGAAAGGCGCTAGCAATGATAAAATCGACGTTAGTGATTACCAATTGTCAGTTATCACTTGTTGTACATATGAGTGGGCTTTGTTGTATAGGCGTGTGTATCTAACGTCCAGATCGTGTGTGTGTAGTAGATATAAAATTATTCAAATTTAATAGCGTACATTCAAATATCTCAGTTCTGTTCATACATCCGTTTACGTATGTTAATCGGATTGTCCTGCTCTAGGAAAAAAGTAGTTTTGTAGACTAGTTATATTTATATGAGAGTCTAGCTGTTATGAAATTTCATGGATGCTATCTTCTAAAGCTACAGTTTTGTTTTGTTTTTCCGTATACCTTATGCGTTTGTTTCATGTTCCGTATTTTTTTGTCTATTTTTTATTCTCTTTTATGCCCCTCTATGTGACTAATACATCTTTTCCCACTTCAAATGCCGAAATACGCAAAATTTCTAGAAACCAATTATAGCAAACAGGAATCAGTTCTCTAGACTTACTACAAAATGAAGTCAATGCTAGGATTCGTGTGTCAGATTAGATTTTCCTTGGTTACTATTCTCTTTCTTTTTTGGTGTTCTAGATTTCATGTGGTCTCTGGGAGCTTTGCCTGAGGGTAAGTACGACAAAGCCAGCCGTCAGCATGATGCGCATGAAGTTGAGGCGTAGGTGCGCCTAAGCCAGCGCAGGGAATATATATTTATGTTGCACTTAATAGGCTCTTTGAACGTCCAGTTCTCTGATGTGGATGTAAATTTGTAGAAATTGCGTTCTTATGAGTCCAATAGAACTCGTACTCGTAGATCATAAACTATCGTGCTTGGCGTTCTTCAAAGCTACACAAGTTTCTACTGGTATTCGATTATCTAGTATCAGTACAGTATACGCTACTGGTATCTTTCGGTAGTAGGGATCGTAGATCAAGTCTTAGAATATTGGGCTGGGCAATGCTTCTAAAGTACAATAATGAACAGCTTCCGCCTGCACTTATCCCGTCTGAAATGGTTTAAATTGCACCTAAAAGGAGATATGTCAATGTAATCAGTTAACTGACCAACAGGGCTGGAAATTAACAACCAAAATGGTACATAGAAATTACTCTCGGGTTAACCTCAGGAAATTCAAAGACCTCGTTTAAACGTTTGTCATATTTCTTCCCTGTTAAACTCTAGTTTCTCTTTTTTGTGTTTTTTTTGTTTTGAAATATTTTCTTTGTTGATATATCGAATATGTGGTATGCAATGCAATATTTATGGATACATCATTATCAGTAGGTCTGGCTCCACACAAATGGTATACATGCGCTCAGTGTATTGATATGTAGGACGTCTGTTGAAGTCTAAGTCACTTTCAATGGCTTCAAAACAAAATACTTGAAAATAACCACGTTCATGTGTGGTTCTATAAGCTGAATAAATCATGACATCTTCAATATCGCATATGTTTTATGCTCTTTTAAACTCAGATCTTGCAAGAACTTCCGTTAGAATAGTAGATACTTGCCTTTTTTCACCAGTCACGCTTCTAAAATATTTCGTCCTGAAAAACCTGCAGTTATGCGGTCCGTTCAAATCATTCTACGTTGTCCTTAAGGAGACGGGAGGGGGCGAGCAACTATCATGCCATTTTAGATTGAGAATCACCACAGGAGTTTATTGCTGTATACAGTTTATCAATGCTTACGAAAGCGTGAGCGCAAGAGTGTGGAGTTAGGGCAACGGGGAGAGGGAGGGAGTGGGGGACAGGGTGCACGAGAGCGTGGAGTACGGTGCCTTTTCCTCCCCCGCTCCCTGTACCTCGCCAGTAATCCACGCTCTCGCCCGTGCGCCTTCGTGAGCGTGGCTTGGGTAAGATTCCCAATGATGGACACCTTAAGAGATGCATCTGCCCAGATGGACACCTCCTTTTCTTGCGATCTGAAGTACGGAGCGAGGTAGTTTGGCTCATTATACCCCGGTAGGGGTTTTACTGGAGCATTAGTTTCGTGCCTAGATCGTGGTACAGTGTCCATTGGGCGGGCACCTTGCCCTAAACTGAGTTTAGCTTATTAGGACCCAGGTGTTTCACCCTTGGGTACAAGTAGAGATGTACGAACATGTTTGGATCCGAACGAACTCGAACGAACCGAACAAAACATTTGTTTGTTCGAGACCGAACATGAAGTGTTTGAGAGCGATATGCTCCAAAAATAACGTTTTGAGTGGTCGTTGTCAAACAATGTTCAAGGCGTTGCTCAAAAAACTTGTCTTCAGGAGCAACGCAGAAATGAAGTGACGATGAACAAGTGATATTTCATCTTTCGCCTGGCACCAAACTGATAAAAAACATTATGAAAAGAGAACTTCTAGGAAGACTGTTCGTGCACTGTTTGTTCGGATATGAACTCTTAAGTGCTCGGTTCGAGAAATTACAGAGGTGTTCGTGTCTGGTTCGGTTCGAATTGTTCTTCAAAATTTCTAGTCGTGTCTGTTTGTATACGAGCCAAGGCTGTTCGCACATCTCTGGGTACAAAAATGACCGCTTTTAACAATTCTAAGAGTAACGTCATAGTATTTGTAGAACCTGGGGCACGTGGTATTTGAACAAAAGTAGAAAGCCATAATGGAGTCAGTAATACAATGCTTTCCTCATTCTGGGCTAGCATTAAATGCCTCACTATAGTGGACTCATTTTTGTGTCTTTTTTTGCTTAGAATACGTTTATTATGTAAACCTTGTCTGGTCGCCATATCACCGGTTTTGACCAAAGTTATCAGTGTTATTTAGAACTGATGTCAGTAGGGTGGTGAAGGTGTGAAACGAATTTGCATGGTTCTCTTGTGTCATCATTTGTAGTCATGCCAAGATGTTGTAAAAAAATCCAGATTGCTCTTTATTAAATGTGGAGTAATAATGAATGTTTTGTTTCTTTGTGCAGGTTTCCCAGCAGCTGCATACGCCGCCTACGCGGCTGGCAGGGGTTACTCCGGTTATCCTGGCTTCGGGCTGCCCTATCCGACAGGTAACAGCCAGCAACATCTGGCTGCGGCCAGCTTGCACCACCACCATCACCACCACCCCCTAACCCTGCTCCCCTTGCCCTTAGACCAGCTAAGTGCGGTCTACGGTCCTAGTCACCTTCCTCTTTAGACCCAGGGATATCCTTTGTCAGTATTTTATGCTTGTCGGCAGTTGGAACGAAGTGTGTTGGTAAGAGCAGGGTACTCTGTAGTGTACAGCACCCTGTGCACCAAATGCACTTTAACGTTACAATTGCCATACTTGCATTTCCTTTCCTACCTGTTTGGGCAACCAGTATGGCTCTAAGCGCTTGATAAACGCATGTGCATTGCTGTGTTTTTGTGGTTTCTTGGTATTACCGTCATTGCATCCAATATGGACTGCCTGGGTGATTTTGCGTTTCTGGTTCGGGCTGTGAAAGTTTATATGGTACTACTTTCGTTGCGTCTATGCTGATACCTGAGATTAAAATGATAAACAGGAAAAAAAGTTGACAGTCTTCGATGTACACTTACGCGTTTATAAATTCTTTTAACATGTGATATTTTGAGAATTACTATTGTTCTCTCACACATGGCTCACTTATAACATTGTGCTATCTAAGTGATATCTCGTCAGCTAAATTGGCTTTGCTTTATCTATGTGATCCCAATCAATGTAAAGGGCTCCGCTAAATAGTTCTGGGGCATTTTACATTAACGCAGTTAGTGGTTTCTCGGGCATTTTTCTGTTAGAAGATAAGCATTCTTCTGGCTAGGAGCAGTTATTCTTCTCATGATATTGTAATCTGCACAATCTTTGTTGATTTTTTTGCGCCGGGTGCGATGAATCTGTACTCATTAATATCTAGTCTTTACTTCTTGTCATTTAAGGGAAACATTTCGTGATAGTCTATGACATCAGGGTCAAAGATTGTGTAGAAATGGGATATTAGAAATCATGAAATATCGTTCATTTAGAATATTTAGACAAACAGCAATACTGCTACTTCACCTTATTCAAGGCATATAAGCATTACTGTAGCAAGATTCAGTCTTTGTGTAAAATTAACTGAAACTTCCTTAGGAAATAGCCAGAAAACATACTATTCCCTTCCTTCAGACAGCTTAAACTTTCAGAAGGTTAGGTGTTCTTTTAGTTTGCCCATCCCATATAGAATGTCTAGTACTTGTAACTCGAGACAGTGTAGGTTTTACTTGCAACAGTAATAAGTGGTTTCTTTATGGACGTTGTAAGGACAACGTACCGTATCATCTTTTTTCTGACTCGGATTTAAAAAAAAGACATTATTGCGCACGTAAAAGGATTTTGTGGCCTTTTTATTAAGTTTTAAACGTTCTGAGGCCTTGGTAAGCAATTCGTTCGCTTTTCGACTGTTGAAAACAAATTCATATAATTTTAAGCACTAACGTAATGTATATTGTACTTGTTAAGGTTACTGTGATTTCGAAATTTTGGCAAAGAGTTGCCCTTGCCTTGTTTGCAATACAATTTATTTTGTACCGCAAATTATGTTCTTTTAATACAAACAAGCATTTCACTCCGAGCCAATATCAGTGCAAGTTTTGGGTACCTAAAGATATTGATTGTTTTGACTAAATAAGTGTTAAACTGTTGGCGGCCGTAATTATTTATGGAAAATTATAAGGATGCCAAATTGTTATTACTTGTATCGCGCTAAATGTGAACTAACAGCTCTGCCATGCCAATGCTTTGCCAATGTTGCCGTTACTACATATTTATACCTCCAAGTGTCAGAGGATATCCCTGGTTAAGCGAGGGAAATACTCATTCAACCAGGCTACTTAACATTTCCTCCTTTGATATTCAATTGGGGTAATGCCGTCAATGTTAGGGTTTTATGTTTTTATCTGTGATTTTGTGAAGTAGCTCTGTACTGATAAGTACGCAGGACAGACGAACTGAGATATTTGCATAATGTTGCCACCTATGTACAATGAAATAGGATAAAAGGAAACCCTACTGTTGTAAAACCGTTAAGTGGGTGTAGTCAACTGTGGACTGAATAGAATCCAACTTAATTTTCGGGCACCCACTAAGCAAGATACCTTCTAAAGAACTTTGTGAAAGCTGAAAGAAGAAAACCTGAATTTTACCAGCGTAACAAGAAAAAAACAGCCTCTTCGTAGTTTAGAAGTTATCGAGAAGCTGTTGGAGTGATACCTCAAGATGATAGTGCAGAAAAACGTTGCATCTTTCTCGAAATCCAAATTATGTCACCCAGAAGAAGATTTATAGCCTGGCTTATGCATTGGGTAGAGGATTCTTCTATAACCTTTCGGTGCTGTTGACGTATATTCACGCACATGGTATTCAATAATACACACCAGAATAATGCGAACACTCTTAAATGTGATCATTGGCTAGACATTCAGTAAGTGCAAATTGTTCAACGAGTGGAATCGGTTCAACTACTCCTGACAAAAAAAATATGTGCATAATTATGCCATCTGAAATAAATCATTGGTATACCGCAGTGAAATATTTCCCTCAAAGGCCTTTCCTTTATCTCAACTGAACAAGCAACCACAAGCCTTTTCAATCAAAAAGTTAACTTTTCTAACTGGACCTTTTTTTGTGACCACGTTTGGTACTTTTACAATTGCAAATCGTAGATTCTGGCGAAGTCACGCAGAGTATATGAATTGAATAGTTCTTAGATCTTCTACCCTAGAGCACGTGTTATGCAAGGTCGAAGTCCCATGAAGGCAGTTCTCCATTCTTTGAGGCAAATCTCTTCCTATTATTCAAAGTATTACGTTTCTCGCTTAGGAAACCATCGCATCGTTAAAAAATGTGTTTAAGTTAAATGCGTCATAATCAATCTCATTGTTTTATGTGGATTATCACGAAATCATTTAACGTCCTGATCCTATTTGAATGAACGCCTGTGTCTGTTTTAGAAGTTGTATAATTGTTTTAGTCTAGACCTTGGTAGATGCAGATTCTAACGCACAGTTAACATGGATCTAATCTAATACCTGACACTGCTATTGCTTATTCCTTGTAAATACGCAGGGTATACATAAGGTAGCCGATCACTTGCCGATATCCCTTAAATGTGAGACAGGTGAGCTATTCCAGCAGGGGTGCCGAGGTACGTACTCCGGTAGGGTCCTCAAGGGGACGTATCCCGGTACCCGTGGGTATTAATCGGGTGGCAGGGTACGTTTCCCCCTGTTTACTTCCACTACCGGCTAACCCACCCCAGTCCCCTTGCTGGCGACCATAGCGTACATTAAACTAATTGTTTTAGAATAGTTTGTGTTTAGGTCGTTTAGATTCAATAATTTGGCTTAGAAACATAATTACTTACTAACTTCAAACTCCCTGCTCGGTGAACATTAAGGCTGACATCCAAGTGGTAAAATGTAGACTTCGACCTTGCATAGCTGGCTACTTCGTAATTTTACGGAAACTCGAAAACCCGCCAACATTTAAGTTTGCGATCGAATGTGGTTGTGATTTTCAACACATAAATAACGGGGAAAGGGTGCAGAACTCATAGTACAGTAGTAGCTGTCGTGGACATCGATATGAAGCTGCCTGGAGGCCTTGAGGGAAGCTGCGCAGATTTCCATTCACCACATGGATCCATCTCATTTCTTCAGCATCAATACATGGGCGAGTAAAATTGATTTTACGTCTAGTTAAAATCATATCTTATGACCCGAACGTTGCTTTAGATATAGAAAAACTTGTTTGACTTTAATAGTAAAGCACTGTTTCGGTGTAGTTCTTTTGTCGTGCCAGAAGTTACCTTTAATATAGCCCTATAAGATGTGTGTCCGACTACTTCTGTAGCATAGTTGACTTTAGTCCAAACCTCATTCCAGCTCGGATTTCAAGAAATGTGTAGACGTTTGTTGGTTTAGCAAATATATCGTTTTCTTGGTGTAAGTCGTGTAGAATTATTCCAAGGTAAATGGCAACTGACGTTTTGAGGTTGTAGGCATTATGTATCTATTTAGTCAAATATATTCTTGGAATAATTCCTGAACCTCGGTGTATCTAATTGTATGATCCTATTCACATATTTTCGTAGAGAGGTGAAACTTGTAACAAACTCTGTGTGTAGTTTGGAATTAGCTAACACAAACCTCGAAAAAATGTGCTTTAGTACTGGTCAAAAAGAATGAACGTCTGTGTGAAAGGTCCCTAAAGATTATGACTGAGTCCTTTTATGATAGCGTAGAAATAGAACGTAGCACTTCAAATGTGTCCCTTTCCAACTCGAACTTATATGTGACATTTTTGTTAGTCCCTGGATTGCGTATGTTGAGTCTTATATTTCCCTTACCCGACCGAGTCTTAGAATCTCTCCGTGTAACTTAGATAAATAGATGTCAGTGTCTTTTCCAGGAAGTGCCACTGTATTTTCACACTTTGTAGCCACCAGCAGGCTTTGTATTCAGTTAAACAAAACTTAGTTTTGATGATTTTGCTGTTTCTTTGTGTGTACCGTGTCAATCCTTGTAGTATCGGCCGTGGAAATTACACTGAGTTTTCTTGGTTTAGCAGCGTTCTTCCATCAAGCGTAGTCGTCACAAAACCAATTTAAAAACTATGTAATGTTTTAGAGTTTAAAAGTTAAAGAGCAATAGATGAAGTTGTGTATTTAAGTGTGTTTTCCATTATTAGATTTGAGTGACCACTTAGATTTTGTGGCCACGAAACATTCTAGATCAAAAATAGACTTCAAAAGTATTAGTATCAAAATTTGTAAAATTTTAGGTAATGGCTCCTGTGTGATAGTTTATATCTTGTGAATTCATGTGTTAACCTGTCTTTACATATTGTAGTATTTACGTTATGTTGGTTGTGGTTATGGTTACGGGCTGACTTCTGTATTTCAAAACAATAGTAAATTTCGATTTTGCGCGGTAGGTCAGATTAAAACGTAGCTCGCACATTCAGGTCCTGTTTTCTAGATAATGTCAATTCTTTGAGTATCACAAAAAGTATCTCTCCTAAATGTGTGTGACTCTGTATTTCCATTCCTTTTAAGTCTAAAGTTGAGTGTAATCTGAGAAGAAATGTCTTCCTTGTCTAACTAATGGCCACAAACGGATTCTCATTAGCATTCAGACACACCGTGATGTTGGGTCTGAAACATTTTCTGCATGATACATTATTTTGTTAATTGCTAGAGTTAGCGTGGTTGTGGTAAAATTCCTTTTTTCTGCGCCAGAAATATTCAAATTGGGAAATCAAGTGTTTGAAGTTTTTGCTTGTTTGTCCTATTAATTAATAAGCAGTCGGGTTCGGCAAGTAGACTATGGGTTGGTGGTATCAGAGCTATGAAACGGTTCCGGGTGCTGGTGCATTCCGGTCTGATCGCCAGTTGTGACTGTCTGTCTTCTCAGGCAATCACTCTAAATCGGCCAGGAACCAGAGGTGCTTTCGATCTTCGCCGTCAAAGCTAAAAGTCTTAAGAGCCGTGTCTGCTGGTGGCCACTATTTGTCCTGCATCCGTAGGCTCGCACTATGGCAAGAGAGGTTGACAGCTCGCTCGTATGTTGCAAGCGAGTGTGACCAGCCGGCTGAGTGCAATGGACGAGCTGACTCCCCCCCCCCCTTTCCCCGCCTCTTCCCCTTTCCTATTTGGCACTAGAGGTCTGGTCTCAGATTAGAGCAAAACTTCACATTCCACCGATTCGGTGCTGGTTATTGGTACCGGCCTGATTTAGTCTGGTTCCTCTCAGCCGGGATCATATGGAACCGTTTCCCAGCTCTGAGTGGTATTTCCCAACCGTTTAAAAGTAGTTGTTTTATCCTAACAGTTTTCCTATACCTGTAGTCACTTTTCCTGAGCACCCCCCACCCCTTTTCCAAAAATATTTTTCTAAAAGTGATATCCACATCAAACATTGCTTTTAAGTTACTTTATTGATATGTGTGGTAAAATTTGCCGCTTTGCGGTTTAGGTTCTGGATAACACACGTTGCATATAGGCTACACTAGTAGCGTAAATTTAAATGAAGGCTTTGGACTTACTTTACAGTCATAGTTATAAACGCCTTGTTTCATTCAATTTAAGTTTTCCCTCTCCACATTTAGAAAAGTGTTGAACTTGTAACGCCGTTTATAACTATGACTTAAGGTGAGAAATAATAGATATTAAAAACCCTATCTAACTTTGCGCGTGCGTGTGTGTGCGTGTGTGTGCAGTTGACCTCACCAATGGCCAGCTTACCCCCAACAACAACACTCCGCTTCTTACGCAGGCTCTTTCAGGTAAGTGTACTGTATGTTTTAACGCCTTAGCGTTAGCATATTTTAATGGCAATGTTTCGCCCTAATTACATGAAAATAAATGATCAAAGTTTGAGGCATATTGGATTTGCGACGTGGCTCTCCATATTGGATGCACTACAATGTAGGCTAGTTACCTTGTAACATTGTTAGATGTATTTCCTTGAAAACGCACCAATAGTGTAAAGTAAATCGAAAAATGTAATATATTACGTGACAAAGTTAGATTTAAATTGCATAATAACTCTAATGTAGGTTGGAACAGAATGTGGTCGACTAGAGATCACGAAGCACTCACTAAATGCTTATGCATTAAAAACGAAAAGTGTGCTTCGTATTTCGGTAGCTGAAAAGATGTAGGACGAATGTTTCAGTTTCGAAACAAACTTGTGATTGGCTTCTACATCTGCATGAAGATAGAGTCTTATGCCCTTGTCAGCTGAGTGGTACGTGGTCTGTTTTAATCTTGACTGGGGTCCGAGGATTCGGTTTCGTTGAGGGCCTTAAATGCCCTGTTACAACGAGCGCCCTTAATTTTAAATTATAATTGAAATCATGCCAATTTTTAACTTAATGCTTATTTGCCTGCAATCCTTCTATTAACTTGGATACATGCACACGGTATGCTAATCTGACAATCCTCAGAGCATGGCCCATCACCATACTTCCCGGAAGACAGCTCACCCTGCTCTTTTTCTCTTTTCCTCTCTTTGACGGAACTACCTCAGATCTGTAGAGCTCTATTTCGCCATGAGCCATGCATGCAAAGGTCTGCCACAATCTCGTTGCGGGTACGATGAGTGCACGCCGTACTCACACGGCCCATTGTCGGGTGTTCCAGTGATGAACAACTACCAAGCAGCAGCAGCCGCCGCTGCACAGGGGTTCGGGCCGCCAACGTCCCCGCATTCAAGCCGAGGGGCTTTCCCCGCGGCATCCTCGCCCGGGCCTGGACCCATGGACCTGTACTCCTCCAGTGACTACGTCCAGGCGGCGTCCCCCCAGCCACAGGGAGCGTTTCCTGCAATGGCTGTGAGCCGGGCACCTGGCATCAACTACAGCCCGGTAAGGGTGAGCGTCCCCTTGTCCTGTGAGAACTAAGCAAGGTATTTCCTTTTCAGGACCAGGTTGCGTATATAACTCTCCGCTGCCTTGAGGTAGCACAGCTGTCACTGTACTGGATAGCGTGTTTTTTGTTGTTGCTCTTCAAAATGCCGGCAGTGGCGTGCTAAGTATGCCAGCTCTTAATGTTAGAAATCTTTTAATTACATGTTGTTTCCAATGAGTTATGCGTTAAGAAATTTTCTTGACGTTATTGGGCAGGTCACTGTGAAACAAATTTAAAAACGTTTTATATTTTTCATAAAATGTAGCAGATTCACTTTTATATTTGTATACGGCAGATTCAATGTCAATTTAGATTGAATTTAGTTAATCTTAACTTAAAACATGCCTTATGTTTCACACGCATTGAGACGAGCATTTCAAGGCTTCTTTCATGTAAAATGGTTAGAATTTCTTTTTCCATTAATCACGAATCCTATGCGTCATCTATTTTTTACTTGATTATTATATTATCCCCAGCTGAGAGGGCATATCCGCTTCGCATGATATGCATACGCTTCCCTTTCTTACTGTTATGACAAGTAGAAACTTGATTACTTGCATCGTGAGCTGCATACAATACGTACTGTTTCTTTTTTTCTCACCTGTCAATATTACGTCTACAAAATCATAAAGTAATTTATTCTTTGGTAAGAAATCACACTAGCACGTTTATCAGAACCGTATAGCTTTACCAACACACGTTGTCTCAATCTAGCTGTAGTAGTTATGTAGTTTTGACGCTAGTGTAACGTATGTGTTTCAGGGTCCATTGATTCCCGCTGCTTTCACCAATGGGTACCACTGAGCAGCGTCACTATTAGGTAAACATCGTCTTTTGAGATTACGTGCTTTCGTTAATCAAGCAGTCCGTTGGCACGTCGTTACTCTTCATTTCAGGTGCGGAGATAAAGGTGGTGGAGGCTTTTGGCGTCCGGCGCGGGCGAATGGTAGCAAGAGGAGCAACGACGGCAATCCAAGTAGAGGTCCCGAGGGATCTCATGCTCGCTCGATGAACAAGTCTCGATGATTTTTACGAATCATCTTCAAATGTGCCCCGCCTGCCATCGCCAACGCAACTCTCTTGTGATTCTTTCTTTAATTTCCCACCAAATATTCAATTGAATATGTGAAAGTTTATTGTGTACGTGTGTAAATATATATGTTGTATACATATATAATTAAATAATTGTGAACTTTGTTATAAGTCCTTTGTCAGAAAAGGGATGAAGAGGATGAAGTTTATATTAAGCTATACAGTTGTTTAACCTTACACGTATCCTTGTGATTTTCCTTTTCTTCTCGTTTTTGAATGGACAATTATTAGATTTTAACTTTTTGATTTTTGTCTCCAAGTTCTTAAAATAAGTGTTTAGTGGAGAGATGTTCATATCTTCAGCTGAGGTATTTTTCTCATAACTTGATCCCTGTACCGAAATGTATACTTTTTACCCTCCGTAATGCATGTTATCTAGCCTCTGGTATGCGGAGGTTTTTTTCAATTTGTTCAGTATCTGCTCTGTGTGTCTTGCTGGCATCTTCTCCAGCTATGTTTTTAACTATCATCATTGTAGTTGTACAGATATATTAGATAAGTAAGTAAATGAACGCAGTTAACATATACACCAGCACTGCTCTAAGCGCAGTGCGCAATGATTGTATATCTTTCTGGCGTCAGTGACGTCCTTATTTACACTTGCAATTTATTGTTGTAAAGATCATGAAATGTTGAAAGTGCTGGCAAATCACAGTATAATTTAATACTTTCGTTGTCAGCGTGTAGAGGCAATTTTTGTCTCTCAGTCCTAGGTCAGTATCCTCCCCCACCTCCTTGCCTCTTTCGGCGTCTTGTACGTTTTTCTTATTCAAATTTGCTTGTTATGATTTGTTTTTATCTTTGTGCCAAGAAGCCATCGCGTGCTAAGGTGTTGGCATGTATAGACCCGGATGTTGTTAAGAGGAGGCAGTTGTCAGGGAAGCTAGGGTCTTTTGTTTCGTAATTGTTTTAGTTAGTTTTAAGTTTTATGACATATTTATGATGAACTAAATGTTATATTACAGGGTAAACGAATTAAAAGATTCCTTACTAATTATTTATGTATAAACAGTTTACTTGTTAATCAATCTCCTAATGGACCAAACAGACAAGAACAAAACCGAGATTTTTTTGTCGCATTGAATTCCTGTTCGAATGTAACTAAAGAGAGGATTCTTTTCGTCTTTTATTTGTTCTTATTTAGTAACAAGGGAGTATTACCTGGTACTTCACAATTTGTTTGACTTCGATGTACTCCAAAATTATATTTCTTAATTTTCTCGGATCGGTATTACGTGCATTGTAAGGAGGAGCTTAAAAGGGTGCGATTTCTTTGAAAAAATAAGAAATTTATCTGTACCTACAAACACATGCCTATATTTTCATTAATTTCCGCATTTGTACATATTTGATCATATTGATGTTTCGCGCTTAACTCCCACCTCCCCACAACTTAAGAATGTGTTAGTTTCCCATGCTTTACTTGCTAGTGTTAGTATATAAATACATAGGATTAGATCTACTGTTAATCTTGTGAAACTATACACTAGATTATATTCACGTTTCCTTGTTAAATATGAGACAATGAGCTACAAAACGTTATGATGCAATGTGATTTGCTTGTTTCTATTTCTTAGTTATGTTCTAGATTTTAAAAGTTTTGTTTCATGAATGTCGTTTAAAGCATTTGTGCTGTTATTCACGCAATGCCTTTAGTGCCGAAATTTTGTAAAAAAAGTTTTCGGTTACTGTTACGTTACTTCAGAGGTCGAAGCTCACGGCGCATACCTTTAGCATTGAATCTTATGATTGCAAATACCAAATATTATAAATATCTGGTCCTTATGTAGGCATGTTCATTTGTAATTCGTGGAGGGACACGTTGAATTCGTCACATTCTGTATTCCCGCTAACAATCAAACAATATTTATTTTGTAAGCAGTAAGGAGTACATAAAGCTTAAGTTTTCGTTCCCACTGTACTTCGTTGCGTCGCTCGTTTATTCCACATTCTGTGGCAGCTTCCATGGATGCGCCCCATTTTCAAAGACAACCTCATCCCAAAAGTACTTTACTTCGGTTGGAAAAATATTGTGTCGGTGGACGGAACATGCAAGTCCTATTAAAGCCAAATCAATGACTAAAGTTACTGTGAATTGTTTTAAGTCTCACACTCTGCCTGTTGAGTGCTCGCATTCCCAACGTCTATTATGTTACAGACGATCCTTGGTTTTTGTTTGAGGGAAGTTCTTCGATTGCCGTTGGTCTAATCGAGTGGATTTTCTCGTCGCTGTAACGCACCAGTGATTTCCGTAGCTGTAGAATATACCTTAAAGCGTTTGTACAGCGACGGCACTCTAATTGGTATGATCTGGGCTCGAATTCACGCCGATCATGTGATAGAAAGCAAAGTCATGAACTGACAATGTGTTCTCTAGTGCGACCAGCAGGATAGACGTAGAGGCGTGTCTAGATCAGTCGGTAGATATTGTAATTTAATTTATTATTTGTTATATATTTATCGTGAGTGGCTCCTGGGCAGAAAGGTGGACGAACTCAGAGGTCCTCTTTTCTGTTTATGGAGTTGTTTTATACCTTCCATCAACCAAAAAGTCAATGTAGAATTTTGTTTTTAGTTTCCTTTTTCGTTTATATTATTGTTGTCACATAAGCGGCGATAAAATCTCATTATGAGCGCTTAGGCGTGCTAACGATATCTTATAGTTTATCGTCTGAATCGATTTTTATCTTTAGTTTTCGACGAATCTGCTGTGGGAAGAACGATTGTCATTTCCAGCATAATGTGTAACGAGCTGCGTTTGACGCATTAATTCTATTTCCAACCAATGTTTCTTCCCTCTGGGTTCATCTCCCATTTTTATTATTCAAAGAAAGACTGTTTTTGAGAATTTAGGCAGTAACTCGTCAGAAATAGTATAGGAGGGATCTGAAAGTAGAGTTGAGGTGAAGAAGATTTCATTGGAACCAAGTGATATAGTGTGTATTTGGGGCATCCGTGTTTTTCTTGTGTTGTTTTATGTTTTCATTAACATTTTTCATTTAATTAGCTATAGTCACTATAGAGGAACCTTTGAAAGCAATACACATCTAAATTTTAATTGCTAATGCCTACTGTACTCTAAATATATGCTGTATTTTGATACCATAAATTTCTTTTTTATTGACTATTCTATCGTGCGTGAGTGAGGCAACAAAATGTGTGGATATTTCCCCAGCCATGCTATGTGACGTTATTTTGTTAAATGCCCTACTGGAACTGCTTGATATGATGTTATTTCAATTTTAGTTTCTATGAGTCGGTCCCAAGAAGCACCTCTTTTGTATAAATTTATTCCAAGTAGAATTTTTGAAGATAATCGCCGCGTTCTTTTGCTTATTGCAGTAACAGATGATGGGGGAAGATGTTTTGTACATAAAACCAACATGACTGCGTGTGTGAAAGAACGATAGTGCGTAGATCTTTAAGGATCTTAACTTTGACTTTATAGTGGCACGGCAGCTGCCACACGGTGGAACTTAAGCAATAATCACTACTACTTAAGGCTATTTTATGTGTATAAAAGTGCGATTGTGTTAACTTTTATTTCTCGTTTTGATATTTTAGTATAGTTAATATCCGTACCCCATCATCTGCCTGGTTTTCGTCATATGTTTGGATGTTTTTGTTTCGTTTTGGTTTCTTTGCAAACCACTAGTGAAAATTTGTTGAGATTTTTAACCTTTTGGTTTAAATCCGTCCTATGTGGGTCGCTCCAGCGTGTTATGTAGATGTTTTTTTAATGTCACTTTCGACGTCTTTGTTTCATATTACTGGTGCGTCATGGGGCTCGGCTCGTCACAATAGCGTAGCAAACAGAACTGTAAATATTCAAGCGACTATCACACACTTGACTGTTGCCACACACTCAAGAAAAACGTACGTGGTTTGTCCCCCACGAGGGGCATGTCTTCCTCCGTAGGCATGCAGTAACACAAGCAAAAATTTTAGAAAATTGAAAAAAAAAGTCATGAAATTTTTGTGTTGACTATGAATTATCTTGTTTATCTAAACTGTGTTTGTTATTGTGGTTCATATAATGTTTACAATATTATGATAATTGTGTATAGGTAATCATTATTATACTGTATATGTTAGTAGCGCGCAAGGCGTGCCTACAGCTGTGAATGCGAGTTGATTGCTTTAAGGATGCGTTGTTTTGCCGTTGATATATGGATATGTTGGGCGCTTTAAATATAGCACTCTCATCGTCTTGTTCAAGATCATGTTCTGTTTTCTGTTACTGTAGTTTGCCCTTTAGTTTTCCGTGTTAATATCTCTGGAAAATTTGTAATTCATAAGTCACTCACTTTTGTGCTTTTCTCGTGGTTTTGCCCCCCACTGGGGTGATTGACTCTTAAGATTTTACTATTCTGTTGGTGATCAAGTTGGATTATAATTATCTTTGCTGTTTGAAATAAAACTGAACTTTGCCGTGTAAAATACTGAGCCTCCTTTTGTTTCATTTGATAAATGCAGAGCTCAGATCTGTGTTCCTTGTATCAGATGCTTAGGAAAACACAGAATATCAATTGTCATTAATCACTATCGTATATGATACGTGGCTCTTATTGTGATCGTAGTTGCAGATATCTGTACAAGTACAAGAACATCGCTCATTTGAGCGTAGTAAGAATATTATGTAAGAATAAGAAGGTGTATCGCGAGCAAATAATGGGAAGGTGATCTGTGCCTTCCATGAACTAAAGACGCGAACGACATTTGATGTTGACTGTGTAAGCTGCTTGGAACTGTTAGAATCAATGCAGTATTTTGAGAATTATCGTGAGTGCTTGTTGAGCACGCAAGCCTTAGTGAGAACGTCCCTTTGACATCTTCCATCAGTTCTCGGGTTCTCGCGTTTTTATTACCCAAGGAGTAAATACTTAATGGTACATACACTTTCCATTGCGAGGGTACATCGGGTGCCTTTCCTCAAATCCACAATAAAACAATCGTACCTTTCGGAAATTTGTGTTACTTAAAGATAAAAAGGTTATTTGTGCTGTTTTATTTTATACTATAATCTTTATAACACCATTTATTGTATAATAGGCCTACTGTTTGTATTGTGTATAAATGTGACACTCCGATATAAAAACTCACTTCGGTTTGTGGTGATCGCCTGTTTAGTTAATGGGATTTTAAGAAGCTCACTGTGATGGTGCCTCGAGAAATCAACCCACGAGAATGGCCAGATGTCATCTAAGCACATCAAATGGGCCCACATTTCTCTGTATACCCTTTATTGGCTACACATACAGCTCGTCAGCTCAGTGACGATATTGTGCAAATTCAAGTTGGGTCGACCTTGTCACTGACCATTCTAAATTCGGGTAGCCTCGCTGTCAAAATAATACGAAAATGTTGTGTTTAGTTGACAAACATTGTCTTGGGGTGAACGACTCCGTGCCATCTGCGTAGTGCTCACTTTTCAGTTCCACTGATTATTTTTGGTTGTTTTCAGTTCCTTAGATTCTTGAGGCCATTTTTTTTTTATTTAATTACTTCAAGTACAATAAGAACTGCGTGTCCCAAAAGCTAGACCGGTACGTTCGTAGTTTTCTTTCTTGCTTGATAGTCAGAATGTGACTTCGTTGAATTTTTATTTGAAATTAGCTTTGGCCTCTAATAATTGCAACGAAGGACATTCGGCCACGAAGCAAGAATTTCGTCAATTAGAAGAGCAGGCTCACAGGTTTCGGGATCCACCGTGTATAGCTTTTGGGACTGAACAGTACAGTCAATTCCTATCGTTTATGTGCTTCAAAGTATCTCAGTATTCTGTACAACAGATTATTAAGGAAATAATACGCGAAACTCTGATATTTTTAATTCCGAAATTTGCCCAGTAACTGACTATTCTTTTAAGGCAGTGCATTATGCGTATCATTAAGAAATTGAGCGGCTGTTCCATTATTTATGAACCGATTTTTGCAATTCAAAGCAGCTTGGACGTGGCTTCTACCTTGACCTTTTTACAGTAAGATCCCAATTAGATCTTCCATCTTCCAAGAATTCGTTCCTTCCTTCTAGTAATAACTTCCGGCAAACACGTTATGGAAATTCTTGATATAAACTAGTTAGTGAGCTGATATACAACAGATGTCAAATTTGAAAATTAAAACTTGTAAGGTGTTTTTTCCCGATAAGAGTCTTCTGTGCAGATGCCGTGGTTAAAGTTTTATCCGAGTGGAAATCTTTCTTCATGATACAATTATCATTACATTATTATGAATCTATGTTTACCATAATTGTAACAATTATTATTATTATTACTGCTGATAATAATAATAATCTTATGTGGTTGACTTCGGTCTTCTTCTGTACATATATGTGACGAGATGCTCTACCAAAAGAGCTTCTATGTGTAACAATATTGATAACAATAAAAAAATTCACTACGGACAAAGTTCAAATACCACATGAGCATTGTTATTTTACTACACATTTTCCCAAATTTTCCTCCTCCCATAATGGGAACCGCGTTTGGTGCATGGTCTCCAGTTCCTAGTGCGGAAATAAGTTTAGTCAAACTGATTTTCAAACTGAAAATCGATAGTGCTGGGAGGAGCGCCAAAAGCGGGTCAGGAAAGTTCAAGCGGGCCCAAAAGTGGCCGGCATGCTAACCACACTGCTAATCACATATGGGTGAGCAGTGAAACAGTGTGCTTGTAGCTTTTTAACGCCACACGACACCCAGGTATTATAGAAGCGCTTTGTTGAAGTAATAAATGACATTGTTGTAGAGAAAAAAGTACGTCATCACTCAAACAGTCGTTTCGGAACAATCCTTTTTAATAGTCTCCTACCACCCCACCCGCACCCTTCTTTCAGAAAAGACACGGTTTTGATGGCCTTCCGAAATTCAGAATACTGACGCAGGACCGCAATTTGTCTGTAGCACTACAATACTCTTCGTGACATATTTTTTCCGGCTCTCCATATCCCCTTCTTCGTCATTCCCTTCTGACCCACTGATCTGGAAATGGGGTGATAAGGACGAAACTTGTTAGGTCCTATGTTTTTCTGTCCTTTCTCCTCTTTCCCTTTACTTTCCCTTCTACTTTCTAGTAGTATTTATTTACACGTTGCTCTTTAGTTCTGATCTAAATAAGCCTACCTAAATTGCACATCATGCAATGTCTCAGAGTATTGGACAAAAGCGAGATGATCATCGCAAACACATGCGATTCTGTAAATTTACTTTCGCGATTATTTTGTAATGATCAGAACAAAAACTTGCTGTACTTTTGGTATCTCAGAAGAGCTGAGAACAGTGTTCTGATGACACCTCTTAACAACTTCTTATTCTCGTTTGCAATCGTTCGTTTAAGGCCCCCCTCCCCCCTGCTCCGAGAGAGAGGGGGCGGGAGAGAAAGGGGGGGGGGGAGACTTTGCACAACATACACTAATTTTCCCACGCTATCTAGCCAAACCAGCCCTTAGTGTCGCGACAAGGATCACACAAACAAAGCAATTCATCCCGCAAAATCTAATTTATGCCCCTCCAAGGAATTCTCGCCGAGCCCAAACTAGGTCAGCAAAGTTACAATGGATTTCAAATTCCTCTCGAGCTTACTGTGACGCCTCTCAGCGTGTGGCTGGAATGCGGAGGTACAGAAACACTGTGAAGGGCAGCATGTTGTTTGAAAAACTCTCTTGGCAAACGATGGCTTCGCTAATATTTTAGTGTTTACCCCTTAGCAGCATTTTCTACCTTACGCAATAAATTCATCGACGACTTATCTAAAAATCTGCAGCCACAGATCATTGTGGCCTTTGCCTCACATCAAAGTAAGGTCATTTTTTTTATAGACGTTCCAGTCTATACCAGCAGGTTTGGCGCGCGAGGGAGCGGTGCGTTGCGTTATGGGTTCGTCCCAACTTCCCTCCGCCGGCCAACAATCACTACTGTGCGCTAGGCCACTCGCCACTCCCCATCCAGGCGCTCCCAGCTCCCAGCCCTCCTCCAAGCCTGGCCTGAAGGTGGCCCAGGCCAGGGCACAGGGCCGCCGAGGCCTCGACTCCAACGACGAACACCTCTGGTTGCTCAGTCTAGCGCTCGTCCAAAGCGAGGGCGATCACCCACCACGTCGCCACTCACTCGCCCAACAACTGCCTGGTCTCGCAAGGGAACTCATAAGAAGTGTTAGTCCCCCAATTTTGTTCCGCCTGCTTGGGAGTTTTGTGAGGGTCAGTGTCAGCAAAGACGGACGACAACAACGCACAAGGCCGTGAATCTCAGAACAAATAGTCGTAACTACTCTTGTTCTAGAAAGCAATAACGTATTTAATAAGTAAAAATAATTTTGTTTTAGATTTTCTTTTATTCGGATCGTCTATTTGTTAACACGCAGTGTTAACGTTTTTTTTTTTTTTTTTTTTTTACGTTCCTCACGGTTGACCCATGAGTAGTCTTGTAGAACGTGTTGGTTTAACTACACGGAAAACGCAAGTGGTGAGATGTCGCACACCTGTAGGTGTGTGAGTGCCCATTCGCACACTTGAGGGTTTTAATTTTCCATTGAAAATTCACACACTTTGTGCCGTCATGTGTGCGAAGAGGCATTCACATACGTATACAAATGTGCGACCTTCACAAACTTGCGTTTTCAGTGTGGTTTCCAGTTCTTTCTCCAAGACTTTCACGTTGGATTCCTATTCCAAGTCCCGTGTACAGCATTGCGCGAGTAAAACTTGTTAACTGTTTTTTAGAACAAATGCAATGCTTTTAGGAACAAGCTTCATTCTTGTTCATCGCTCTGTGCGTCGAGTTGACCAATATTTTTACTTATTGTCCTTTGCCTTTAGTGCCTTTAGTGGCTTTGTTGTTTGAATTCTGTAAAATATGTCTCTTCAAATGAAAAAAAAGTGAAACAAAATCGTCCGAAGTAAATAGAATTAAATTAAATACAGAATTATTTATGATCATAAACATTAGATATAGTTTATACTGAACATCAACTGGGGTACAGCAGAGAAAGACTAAACCAAGGGAATAGTCGGGGAGAGTAAGAAGCAGGAATAAGAGACTGCAAGGGAAACAGCAGGAGGCGTTGGGTGTCCTTCAAACCTAGCCTGACGACGAGAAACTCTCGGTGCTCTTGTCAAGCGACAGGCGGGGGATCCGGCGGATGGAAAGTGGCAGCAGACGAGGTGAAACGCGGCAGCACCCAGAAAGACACGCTTACGCTTCCCTGAATAGGGTCAGGCTCAGGCGACGGGAGGCGCAAGTGCCTCTCATTAAAAGCAAGACTAACTTTCTAGTCTCTCCTGCGTCAAGGGTCGTTATTACTTAGTTCAAGTGAAGATTCGCCCAAGACAACAGCGTAGAGCACGGACGGCCTGTCATCGTCTATCTAAAAATCAAAAACAATGCCGGGTCAAAGCATCGCGTGAGAGGACTGTGGAGGACTCAGCTCTTTGCCCGCGTGCCTGCCTGCCTGGGGGTTGCCAGGGGGGCCAGGTGAGTAGAAAAGCACTGCAACTCTTTCTTCGCAGCCCGAAGGACATCCATTAGCGGGCCACTTTAAGCCAATTGGAGAAAGGATTGCCCCTCCTCCCCTCTTGGAAGCCCCGGGCTGCTGGAGCGCTGCGCCGGTGTGACCCGCCCCGCTGATAAAGGCTGGGCCGGGCGGAGCCGCCCGGAGGGAGCTTTGGGCATCGCCTCGCTGTTCTCTTAGTGGTCCAGACAATCTCTTTCGACCCCGGCTCCCGTTACTCACCGCGAGTGGGCCTGCCGCCTTGGCCGCACCTATACCGATACTGAATTATGTGGCTTTACTCGCACCGGTATGAGCTTCCGAAGCGATATACCAAACGCCTCAACGTGGCATTATAGGTTTGAAATCTCGCTTCGTTGAAACAGTAGTGGCCCTCAATTCCGTATCCGTACTTTCGGAAGCAAAGATAGCAAGGCCAGCCGGCAGCATTTCACCATCGGCTCCCATGCTTCCTCTGACCCACGAGGCCGTCGCTCCAGCAGCACGGCGCAATCATTTCCCTGTGAGAAGGCCTATTTATTTCCACAGCCGTCTGCACGAGACGTGATAGATTACTCAGCCATTCCGAATTATATTACGTCGTCTAGTGTCTTCGCTTTTTCCCGCCTTTTTTTTTTTTCGCTCGCCTCTCGCCCGCCCCCTATCTCTCTTTTGCCTCTCTTTCGCCTCTCTCTCTCTCTTTCTCTCTCTCTCTCTCTCTCTCTCTCTCTCTCTCTCTCTCTCTCTCTCTCTCTCTCTCTCTCTATTTCTCTTTCTCTTTCTCTTTCTCTCTCTCCTTTTCTCTCTCGTCCTCTTTCTTCGTCGAATCGCAGGTGTCTTTACTGTACCGGGTGATTCAGAGCACGCGTCGCCGTGTTGCGGGCTTGCCTATCCTCGACTCGGCGGGCCCCTACCCTCCTCACCTCTCACCCGTACGCCCGCCGAGTCGAGGATAGGCAAACCCGCAACACGACGGCGGGTGCTCTGAATCACCCGGTACGTCTGCTACAAGCGGGTGTTTGGCGATGGTTAGGGCACACTTTGAGTGAGGGGAGGTGGCGCACTCATTGTACAACAGTACAGCCAGTGCGCCCCGCGCTGACCGGCTCGAGGCGGTCAGCGGTCAGTAGACAGGGTGTTGGCGATGCTGCGCGCTGCTCGTTCTCCCTCCCTACCTGGACCAGGTCCAAAGGGCCCGAGGCTCGGGCGGGGACTTGAGGCCAGCCACGCGGGAGAGCAGAAGAGTGGGAGTGGGAGGCGGGGTGCACCCCGCGGCACTTCTCAACACCTCTGAATCAGTATGAGTTCCACAGCACGGAGGAACAAACCCGCGGCGGTGGCGACAATCAAGAAGCTGGGCGCTAACCACGACCTCGTCGCTCTGCTTGGCCCTCCCTCCTCACCAGCGCGAAAAATAGGTTTGGAAACATGATTTTCCAAAACAATCTTAGAAAAAAAATTCCAGCCCCATTTTTGGAAACTGTACAGTTTTGAAGTTTTGAAAGCAATTTTACACCTATGCTGGGTTTCACAACAAAAATGAGGAATTGCAAATAAATTTACAAATGTCAGTCAAAAGTTTAGAAAAGTTTTAGGAAAAAAAATGGAAGATAATGTTTTCTAACTATTTAAAGTGAAAATTTTTCAGTTATTTTTTTGGAAAAATCCTTCCAAAAAATTTACAGTGCGGTCGGTGGGTGGGGTGAAAGGATCAGCCATGAAGAAGCTGGCCGATAAAAGGAACAGGAAGAAGGTAGGTCACCGTACTGTGTTTCATCGCAAGTGAATGTTTGATCATAAATGAAGTTTTGTAGAATTTGTAACGGAAAAATTGGGTCCACATTACATCAGCGCATCAATCTTGTGTCAAAAAGTGCTTCTGTAAAGTTTGGCTTCGGGAAAGTAAGTTTACACAATCTTGTAAACCTTCTCGGTGTCG